GGACGACGAGGCGGATGCTGATGATGATGCTGATTATGATGTTGATAATGCTGATGACGATGGTGGTGGTGATGATGATGGTGATGATGGTAATGATGATGACAGTGATGATCATGGTGATGATGATGGTGATGATGATGATGATGATGATGATGATGATACTGATGGCGATGCTGATGATGTTGATGATGTTGTTGATGCTGATGCTGGTGGTGGTGATGCTGGTTGTGATGATGGTGATGGTGATGGTGGCGGTGATGCTGCTGATGATGTTGATTATGGTGCTGATGATGATACTGATGATGCTGACGACGACGATTATGTTTGAGCTGATGATGCTGCTGACGATGATGATATTTGTGCTTCGGTTGATGATGATGATGACGATGAATATTAACCTGACGATGGAGATGAAGATGATGATGACGCCGATGCTGATGCTGATGCTGATGCTGATGACGATCATGATGATGCTGAGGATGATGGTGATGATGGTGATGATGATGCCGATGATGCTGATGCTGGTGATTGTGATGATGATACTGATTATGATGATGGTGATGTTGATGGTGATGGCGATGATGCTGCTGATGGTGATGTTGGTGATGATGCTGATGATTATTATGATGGGGGTGGTGGTGGTGATGCTGATGCTGATGCTGATGCTGATGCAAATGATGATGACGATGCTGATGATGATGATGATTTTGATGATGATGATGATGCTGATGATGATGATGACGATGATGATGATGATGTTGATGACGACGATGATTATGATGATTATGATGATGATGATGATGATGATGATGATGATGATGATGATGTTGGTGCTGATGATGATGATGCTGATGCTGATGCTGATGCTGATGCTGATGATGCTGATGATGATGATGACGATGATGATGATGATGATGCTGACGCTGATGTTGATGTTGATGTTGATGATGATGATGATGATGATGATGATGATGATGATGATGATGATGATGATGATGATGATGATGATGATGATGAATATGATGACGAGGAGGAGGAGGAGAAGGAGGAGGAGGAGGAGGAGGCGAGGGGAGGGTGAGGAGGAGGAGGAGGAGGAAAAGGGCGAACAGAAGAGCCAGAAGCCTCTTGAATGCCTTTGGAAGTCTCCTCGGATGTCGATGGGAAGCTTTTTCGATGCCTCTTGGGGCGTCTGGGATGGCATCTTGGTGGCCCCAGGGTAGTATTTGAGCGTCTTGCGTGCCTCGGATATCCTCTTGAGGCCCCTTGGGGGTCTCTTGGGAGCCTCTTGGAGGCCCCATTGGGCGCCTCTTGGGGCTGTCAGGGCGCCCCTTGGGGCCGTCTGGGCCCCTTTTGGTGCCCTCTTTGGGCGCTCTTGGGAGCTTTAGGGGCGCTCTTGGAACCATCTTGGAAGACATCGATCAAAAAAGAGGGGAGCTTGAATTTGCCTTGCCCTTCTAGATTGCCTGAAGCCGCCTCTTGGGGCGCTCTTGGGGCCGTATTGGAGGCCTCTTGGGCCCCTCTTGGAACCCTCTTGGGCCTTCTTGGGGTCATCATGAGGCCTCGGAAGGCCATCGGAAGCGAAAAGGTGAGAAAGCAAAATACATTGATGTTCTTCATATTTTGGAAGGGTATTGGCCTCTTGGCGGCCTCCTGGGGGAGCTTTCGGGCCACTTGGACACGCCTTGGAGCGGTCTTGAGTCTTCTTGGAGCACATTGGGAGCCATCTAGAGCCATCTTGAGCCATTTGGGAGGCCATCTTGGACTCTCCGAGTCCCTCTTGGAGCCGTCTGGGGCCATCTTGGACGCTCCAAAACGCCTCGCGGGGCGCCCCGTCCAGATCCAGGGTAGGGTGTAGGGGGAGGGGTCGAGGCCCCCCCTTCGCCCGCAAGCCGTCTCGCTCACTCTCCCCCTCCTCCCAGCACATAAGTAACACCCGAGGGAGTCGCAGCATATTGCATAGGAGAGCGCCACGCATGCCATGTGCGCCACGGGTTCCGGGTGCACCAGGTACCTTGGAGGCCCAAGCGAGCCAGGCGCGCCAGGTGCGGCACGTGCTCCACGTTTACTTTGAGTGCCTTATTAGCTTTTGACTACAAGGGCCCTTCCCCGGACTGCCGGGCCCCACCCCCGGGTACAAAGCCCCGCCAGGCCCAGACACCACCCGGACTACATGCCCCCCCCCCCCCCGACTAGAGGCACCCTTTCAAAGCAGGAGGAAGGCGAGGGGACTGGACTACAGGACCACACCCCCAGACTGTACAGGCCCCCCCCCCAGGACGACAAGGGCCCCCCCCCCCACTACAAGGGCCCTCCCCTCCCGGACTGCAAGAGCCCCCCCCCCTGGACGACAGGGCCCCCTACACGGACTGCAGGGCCCTCCCCCCTTGACTAATAGGACCCCCCCCGGAGTACAGGGGCCTCCCAAACTACTCGGGCACTCAGAGTGGGCAATATGCTGGCACCACCCGCTTTGCGGGGCTCCCGCGCATGCTCCAGATGCGGAGGCAAAGTGAACTCAGTATGCTTTTTTTTATGACAGGGATGGTTAGACTGCGCGCAGCGAGCAACATGACGGCACCCCCGCTGTCCCTGTCAAAAACCACTGCAAAATGGTCGCGGGGCGCTCGCGCACGCTCCGGATGTGGAGGCAAAGTGCATCCAGTATAGTTCCCAACCATTTTGTGGTGTTTGGGTCATCGTTTTGAAGAGACAGCGCCCCCCGTCTCCTCCTCTCCTCTCCTCTCCTCTCCTCTCCTCTCCTCTCCTCTCCTCTCCTCTCCTCTCCTCTCCTCTCCTCTCCTCTCCTCTCCTCTCCTCCTTTCATCCCTGCCTCTGCCCTCCGCGTGCCACCCATCCCGGTGGGACAGCTCGCATGGCAACGCCGCCCCATTTCGGCACACCCCTCTCACGCTCCGTGGCCCCATAGGGAGCTCCACCTAAGGCCTCAGTGGGATAGCTCGCATGGCACCGCCGTCCCATTTCGGCGCACCCCTAACGCGCATCGTGGTCTCATAGGGAGCTCCACCTAAGGCCCCAGTTGGGAACGCTCGCATGGCACCGCCGCCTCATTTCGGCACACACTCACACGCTCCGTGAAGACCCCAGTGGGAAAGCTCGCATGGCACCGCCGCCCCATTTCGGCACACCTCTCACACGTCTCGTGGCCCTTAAGGAGCTCCACCGAAGGCCCCAGTGGGAAAGTTCGCATGCCACCGCCGCCCAATTTCGGCACACCCCTCACACGCTTCTTGGCCCCATATGGAGCTCCACCGAAGGCCCCACTGGCGATGTTCGCATGCGCCCGCCCGACTCATGCCGGCAGACATTCCACACGCTTCGTGGCAAACTGTTGTATTGCGTGCGGTGCCCGGAGTTTGCGTGCCCCCCCTCCTTCGTCTCATCTCCCTCGCCGTAGTAGTGGTAGTAGTCGTAGTAGTCGTAGTGCCAGTAGTCGTAGTAGCAGTAATCGTAGGATCAACAGTAGGAGTGGTAGGCGGTTTCTCGCAGCTGCATGTGGTCGGATCCGTCGTCAGGCAATTGTTGTTGCACTATGACGGCACTCCAGCCGTCCCGGTCAAAAACCAAGGCAAAGTGGTCGCGGGGCGCACGCGCACGCTCCAGATGTAGAGGCAACGTGCATTCATGACGATTTGCTTTTTGAGAGGGATACCTGGCCTGAGCGCAGCGAGCGATATGACGGCGCCCCCGCCGCCCTTGTCAAAAGCCAATGCGAAGTGGTCGCGGGGCGCTCGCGCGTGCTCCAGGTGTGGAGGCAAAGTGCATTCAGTATTGTGTTTTGTCAGGGATGGTGGGGGGAGGGTTGGCATGATGTCCCGGGTTGGCCCACAGTCGGGTGGGGGAGGGGGTGTATATGAATTGTAGATCAACAGTGAGTAGTGATAATGTTTTCCCCCAAAGGGGAAGTAGGGGGTTGGAAGGGAAGCCGCCCTAGACCACCTACGCCCAGAGGGCGTTCGGGATTTTGACGGTTCAGTTTTCGTTGGATGTTTGCAGCGGGAGCCCGCGTGACATTTCAGGTCCGGCTTCGTCATTTTCTTGATTGCCGCGTCGGGCCAACCCGAGTCTTCCGGCCTGGAGTCTTACGTCTCCCCAAACATTGTATTTGGTTGCCCGACGTATTTAGACAACATCAAATGTTGTCCAAAACCCACAGCGCCCGCTGTTGGGCATGCGGCTTTCTGTCTCACATGGAAAACGTCTGCGGCGACACCGACAGCGAGTCTTGGTCAAAATGAACAGGAAATGCGGTCAGTCTTTGCACTGATTCCTCCGTGCCCATGTCGATCGTGACTGGTGGGGACCTTCGAAAATCGGCCAGGCATGGGGATGAGGCCAAATCCGCTCAAAATCGGTCCCTGGACCCTGGACCTCTCCCAGGGTCCATCTGGTGCAATTTTCCACCCCCGATCATTCCAGATCCGTTTTGACGGTCCCGGGGCCCGAGACGGTTCTCGGAATCCGAAAGAAGCAGGACATCTCCCCGAACCCTGAATCTTGAACTTGCTTTCCCTGCCTGCTGGCCGGAACCCGTACTGGGCCACCTCAGACCCCCAGACGGCTCCAACCCGAGGTACGGCGCATGTCAGCCGCGCGCAGAGGTGGGTAGGGCGAGGGGGGAAGGCTGCTTAGAAGGAGGTTGCTTCTTTAGAGGGCGCGGCCATTGTCTGTAGATGTAAGCCCGCGCCTTCTAAGAAGCAGCCTCCTTCTAAGAAATTGTCTCCCCTCCCCTTACGGCAAGTTCGCGTCTTGTCGACCAGCGGTGTCCCCAGCGCTTGCGTTTAAGGTTGAACGCCGCCTGTGGCCCGGAATCGGCCCGTCGTTGAACGATCCGGCGTTAATGGAACGGACGATCGTTCCAGTTTGAACGATCCCCGCGTTGTCAGGAACCAGCGCCGGGGTCGACACGACGCGAACCTGCCGTACCCCCCTCTGCGCGCCGCCGAGCGTGTGCGCAGCTCTGGCAACACCCCCGCCGGCAGGACTTCGCCAGCGCGTCGTGCACGTCCTCCAGCACCAGCCTGCCGAGCGCAGGCCTGGCGAGCGGCGAGGGCGCCAGCGCCGACCAGCTCGCGCGGACGCCTCCGAGGCCGCCAGGGGGGGCAAGCTGCTTCTTTTCGCTTGGCCATACAATGTTTGATTGCTGCGGGGGGAAGAGAACAGGGCGAGTCTCCCCAGGCTAACCTGCACGTCGTGCTCGCCGCGCTCTGCGTTGAGGATTTTGTCCGTTGATGCCCAGCACCTCTTCACAACGCCACCGAGGGAACAAGTGGTGCGTCGCGTGGGAATGCCGGCCAGCCGTGGGTGGCTGGGTTGCCTTGCGCCCGTTGACCCCAACCCTTCTACGCCTCTCACACTTGCTTGTTGCACTTTGTCAGTATACCCAGTGAGGCGCGGAGAGACCGTGAAGGAGGTTTCTGCGCGGGGAGTTCGGCAAACGCAAACATGGACTACGGTGGATGGCGTTCGTGACGGAATGTGCCCAGGAGGTTTCAGACACTAGAGGATTCTTTCTTTGGCCAGGACGGCGGTGTTATCAATGGCCACGCTTCTGTCGGTGTTCCACCGGGTTCCAGACCATGGGCTCCTTATCGACAGGTTTTTTATCCAATGCCCTCACCGCGGAGATTATACGCAAGGCCCAAATCCCGACGCCCTACAACAGGCTCCACAGGCCCAACAACTCGCTCGGGCCTGTGGAGCGTAGTTTGGGCGTTGCGCGCTTGGGTTTTGGACCTTGCGCGTTGCCCGACAAGGCTCGGGGACCGACGCGCAGGGCCACAAATACCCCACAGGCCCAAACCCAGGCCCCACGGACCCAAATTCAGGCATGGAGTCCTGACTGGGGGCGGACGCAGCGGAGCAGCGGAAGAGTGAATCACTTTCGCCCCGCGCATGCGCCCAGGCAGGGCCCAGGGGATCGACGCGCAAGGCTTCCAAAAAGTTCCACAGGCCCAAACCCAGTTGCAGATTCCTGATTTGGGGCGGCCGCAACAGAGCTGTGGGGCGTTTTCGCTCCGCGGGCGCACCCCAGCAGGGCCCAGGGGACCGACGCGCAAGGCCCCACCTAAAACGCTCCAAAGGCCTAGGTTCAGGAGTATATTCCTGACTTGGGGCGGCCGCAGCGGGGCAGCGGAGCAGGGGAACGCTTTCGCACCGCGCGCAGTTCTGGGTAGGAAAAACCCCACAGGCCCAAACCCAGGCTCCACAGGCCCAAACCCAGCTGTAGATTCCTGTCATGGCGCGGCCGCAGCGCAGCAGTGGATCATTTTCGCCCCGCGCGCACGCCCTGGCATGGCCCGGGGGACCGACGCGCACAGCCCCCCCAAATGCCCCACAGACCCCAAATATCGCTTGGGTCTGTGGAGCTTCGTTTGGGCATTGCGAGTCGCAGCCTCGCCGCACCATAGCCGAATAGACAAAGGACTGCATAAACGCAAATTTTCAGGGCTCCGCGCGACTTTCTCGGATCGGCGCTGTGGGACCCCTTGGCAGCGCCTCCGGCGCCGCCCCTGGCGCGCTCCGCGCGCAAAGCAGGGGTGTCCAGCGCCGAGACGGCGCCCCGCGTCTCACTCCCTTTTTCTCCACCATCCTCCCTCTTCTCATCCTGCCATCTTTGCCTCTGCCCTCCGCATGGCTTCTGTTTCGGCACACCCCTCACACGCTTCGTGGCCCCATTGGGAGCCCCACCGAGGGATCGAGTGGCTCTGCCTGCATGGCACCACCGCGCCCACTTCGGCACAACCCTCACACGCTTCGTGGCCCCGTAGGGAGCTCCACCGAAGGCTCCGTTGGCTGCGTTCGCATGGCACCGCCGCACCCATTTTGGTACATCCCTCACACGCTTCGTGGCCCCAGACTTCCACCAAAGGCCCCAGTGGGTGCGGTCGCATGGCAGCGCCGCACCCATGTAGGCACACCCCTCACACGCTCCGTGGCCACTTGGGGAGCTCCACCGAAGGCCCCTTTGGCTGCGATCGCATGGCGCCTCCGAGTCTATTCCAGCACACCTCTCACACGTCACGTGGCCTCTGACATCTCCACCAAGGGTCCCAGTGGTTGCGTTCGCGTGGCGCCACCGCGCCCATTGCGGCACATTCCTCACTCACACGCACTGTGGCCCCACAGGGAGCGCCACCGAAGGCCCAGAATTTGCGCTCGCATGGCACCGCCGTGCCCGTTTCGGCACACCCCTCACACGCTTCGGGCTGCCATAGGACGCTTATCCTAAACTCCAGCGGCAGCGCCCGCATGGCACCACCGAACCCATTGCGGCGCACCCCTCAGACGCTTCGCGGCCCCGTAGGGAGCTCCACCGAAGGCCCCAGTGACAGCGCCCGCATGGCACCACCGCTCCTGTGTCAGCACACCATTCACACGACCCGTGGCCCCATAGGGAGCTCCACCGAAGGACCCAGTAGCAGCGCCAGTATGGTACCGCCGCGCCCAAGTTGCACGCCCCTCGCACACTTCGTGGCACTGTGAGCTTCACCGAAGACGATACTCACAACCGCGGTATTCACAACTGCATATGGTTGGGCCCTTCTCGGGGATGAGTTCCCCGAACCATCCCGTGGTGTTGGGTCCTCTCGTGGCCCCAATCGGAGCTCCACCAAAGGCCTCAGTGGTTGCGCTCGCATGCCATCACCGCGCCGATTTCGGCACGAGCTGCACCGAAGGCCCCAGCGGCTGTGTTCGCTTGGAGCCGCCGCACCCGTCTCGGCACACCCCTTACACGCTTCGTGGCCCCATGTCGGGCTCCACCGAATACCCAAGTGGCATGGTCTGCATGGCACCGCCGCGCCCATTTCGGCGCACCCCTCAGACGCTTCGTGGCCCCGTAGGGAGCTCCACCGAAGGCCCCAGTGACAGCGCCCGCATGGCACCACCGCTCCTGTGTCAGCACACCATTCACACGACCCGTGGTCCCTATAGGACCCAGTAGCAGCGCCAGCATGGTACCGCCGCGCCCAAGTTGCACGCCCCTCGCACACTTCGTGGCACTGTGAGCTTCACCGAAGACGATACTCACAACCGCGGTATTCACAACTGCATATGGTTGGGCCCTTCTCGGGGATGAGTTCCCCGAACCATCCCGTGGTGTTGGGTCCTCTCGTGGCCCCAATGGGAGCTCCACCAAAGGCCTCAGTGGTTGCGCTCGCATGCCATCACCGCGCCGATGTCGGCACGAGCTGCACCGAAGGCCCCAGCGGCTGTGTTCGCTTGGAGCCGCCGCACCCGTCTCGGCACACCCCTTACACGCTTCGTGGCCCCATGTCGGGTTCCACCGAAGACCCAAGTGGCATGGTCTGCATGGCACCGCCGCGCCCATTTCGGCGCACCCCTCAGACGCTTCGTGGCCCCGTAGGGAGCTCCACCGAAGGCCCCAGTGACAGCGCCCGCATGGCACCACCGCTCCTGTGTCAGCACACCATTCACACGACCCGTGGTCCCTATAGGACCCAGTAGCAGCGCCAGCATGGTACCGCCGCGCCCAAGTTGCACGCCCCTCGCACACTTCGTGGCACTGTGAGCTTCACCGAAGACGATACTCACAACCGCGGTATTCACAACTGCATATGGTTGGGCCCTTCTCGGGGATGAGTTCCCCGAACCATCCCGTGGTGTTGGGTCCTCTCGTGGCCCCAATGGGAGCTCCACCAAAGGCCTCAGTGGTTGCGCTCGCATGCCATCACCGCGCCGATTTCGGCACGAGCTGCACCGAAGGCCCCAGCGGCTGTGTTCGCTTGGAGCCGCCGCACCCGTCTCGGCACACCCCTTACACGCTTCGTGGCCCCATGTCGGGCTCCACCGAAGACCCAAGTGGCATGGTCTGCATGGCACTGCCGCGCCCATTTCGGCGCACCTCTCACACGCTTCGTGGCCCATAGGGATCCACCGAAAAGGCTTCAGTGATTGCGTCCGCATTGTAACGCCGTGCCGATTTCGGCACACCCTTCGCACGTTCCGTGGCCCCACAAGGAATCACGCCGAGGGCCTCAGCAGCTGGCCACATAGGGGGCTCCACCGAAGGCCCCTATAGAGGGCTCAACCAGTGGCTGCGTTCGCACGGCACCGCCGAGCCAAACTTGTGACACTCTCCAGGCGCTTCGTGGCCCCTTGGGGAGCTCCACCGAAAGCGGTACCGACAACGCGGTACGCACAACTGCATATGAGTGGGTCTTCCGCCAGGGTAGCTGCTATCCCGGGCAAGGACCCAATCATGCGTTGGCGCGGGTGCAGCAAGGCAGGAGTGACTAAGGAAAGGCATGTCCGTATGGGGCCACGAAACGTGCGTGGGGTGCGCCGAAATATGTGCGGGACCGCCATGCGGACCTTGCCGCTGGTGCCTTCGGCGGAGCCCCCTGTGGGGCCACAGAGCGTGTGCAGGGCGTGCAGAAATAAGACCTTGCCGCTGGTGCCTTCGCTGGAGCTCCCTATGGGGACGCGACGCGTGTGAAGGGTGTGCCGAATTGGGCGCGGGGCCGCCATGCGGACCTTGCCATTGGAGCCTTCGGTGGAGCCCCCTGTGGGGCCACGACTTGTTTGAGGGGTGTGCCGAAACGGGTGCGGGGCCCGGGCCGCCATGCGTACCTTGCCACTAGTGTCTTCGGTGGAGCTCCCTGTGGGGCCACGACATGTTTGAGGGGTGTGCCGAAATGGGTGTCGGGCCGCCATGCGAGCGCAGCCACTGGGACCTTCGGCGGAGCTCCCCAAGGGGCCACGACACGATTGAGTGTTGTGCCGACATGGGTGCGGGCTCACCATGCGGAGCCTGCCGCGGGGGCGTTTGTTGCAGCTACTCAAATCGGTGCGGGGAGCCTCGCGGACCACTGGAGATCTCGGTGGAGCTCCCCAAGGGGCCACGAAACGCTTGAGTGGTGTGCCGACACGCGTGCGGGGCCGCCATACGAACGCAGCCATCGGGGATCACGCAATGCACGATCGCGGGGGCCACGCAAGAGTGCTTACAGTGGGAGCGCGCATCAAGAAACCCAATGCTTTTCGTCAGGGTATCTTGGGTTTCTTCGCTCCTCGCGCTGCGCGGTGACTTCCCGCAGCATTTGAAGAAGCTGCTGCGTTCAAGGTGCTCTGGGTTTCCCCTCAGGTGTACCTCGCGCACGGGTTCTCAGGGTTGGGTTTCTTGCGAGGGTTTCTTGCGGCCGCGCCCGCACTGTATGAGTTCCAGAACCATCTGGAAAGCGTCGCTGGATTTGCAAGGTCTGGGGGGATGTGAGAGAGGCCTGGTTGCGCTCTGGATGGGTGTGAGGTGGAGGATTCCCTGACCCTCGCCTCGTGGACGACAATGCCGGCGGGAGGGCTTTGGCAGCTTGCTGCTTCAGAGGGGGCTCTCGCCAGCCCCCAAGACTGTCGAACAGAAACTCAACATGAAAACTCGGTTCCGGGAAACAGTTCTAGACTTCCAGAGTTCCACATTGTCAGAGAGTTGGGACGGACGGGTAGGAAGAACAGAAGGTCATTACTCACCAAACCACCCCAGCCCAACCCGAAGGTTCCAGACCCCCAAAGAAAAGTTATCCTGGCGAAGGGCCCAAACATATGCAGTTGTGAGTGGGTCTTGCCTTCGGTGGAGCTCCGTATGTGGCAACGAAGCGTGTGAGGGTTGCGCCGAAATGGAGCGGGGCCGCCATGCGAACGTCGCCACTGGGGCTTTTGGTGGAGCTCCCTGCGGGGCCACGAAGCGCAATACTGGGCGGGGGAAAACGCATGCGGACACTGGCACTGGGGCCTTCGGCGGAGCTCCCTCTGGGGCCACGAAACGTTGTATATTGGGTGGGGGAAACGCATGCGAACACCGCCATTGTCGCCTTTGGCGGAGCTCCCTGCGGGGCCACGAAACGTTGTATTGGGCGTGCAGACACTGCCACTGGGGCCTTCGGCGGAGCTTCCTGTGGGGCCACCACACGTTGTATTGGGTTGGGGGAAGCGCATGCGGACACCGGCACTGGGGCCTTCGGAGGAGCTCCCTGTGGGGCCACGAAACATTGTACTGGGTGGGGGGAAACGCATGCGAACCTTCCCACTGGAGCCTTTGGTGGAGATTTTTATGTGGACACGAAGCGTGTCAGGGGTGTGCCGAAACGGGAGGGTTGTTTTGCCATGCGACCGCATCCACTGGGGCATTCGGTGGAGCTCCCTATGGCGCTACGAAGCGTGTGCGGGTTGTGCCGAAATTGGGCGTTGGTGCCGTGCGAACCTTTCCACTGGAGCCTTAGCTGGAGCTCCTTATGAGGCCACGAACCGTGTTGGGGGGGTGCCGAAATGGGGCGGTTGTGCCATGCGAACCCTCCTGCTGGCGCCTGCCTTTGGGCTCCCTATGGGGCCACGAAACGTGTGAGGAGTGTGTCGAAATGGGCCGGTGGTGCCATGCGAACCCTCCCACTGTTGCCTTCGGTGGAGCTCCCTCTGGGGCCACGAAGCGTGTGAGGGTGCGCCGAAATTTGGCGGCGGTTGTGCCATGCGAACCCTCCCACTGGCGCTTTCGGTGGAGCTCTCAGTGCAGCTGCGAAACGCCATGCGAGCTTCCCCACTTGTGCCTTACCTCGAGCTCCCTATGGGGTCACGCAGCGTGTGAGGGGTGTGCCGAAATGGGGCGGCGGTGCCATGCGAACCTTCCCACTGGGGCTTCAGGTGGAACTCCCTATGGGGGCGCGAGACGTGTGAGGGGTGCGCCAAAAGACAGACATGCGGAGGGCAGAGGCAAGGTGGGGGAGGAGGGGGGATGGGGCGCGGGGCGCTGTCTTTTCAAAACGAGGGCCCAACACCACAGGACGGTTGGGAATTACCCAGGCGAAAAGACACAACCAAATGCAGTTGTGAGTACCGTCGTTGAGAGCACCGCCTTCGATGGATCTCCTCACGGGGCCAAGAAGTGTTTGAAGGGTGTGCCGAAATGGGGCGGGGCCGCAATGCGGGTGAGGGGTGTTCCGAAATGGGGCGGCGGTGCCATGCGAACCCTACCACTGGTGCCTTAGGTGGAGGTCCATATGCGGCTACGAAGCGTGTGAGGGGTGTGCCGAAATTTGGCGGCGGTGTGCCGAATTTGGGCGGCGATGCCATGGAAACTTTCCCTTGTGGGCTTGCGGTGGAGCTCCCTATGGGGCCACGAAGCGTGTGACGGGTGTGCCGACATGGGGCGGTGGTGCCATGCGAACTTGCCCTCTGGGGCCTCAGGTGGAGCGCTCTTTGGTGTCACGAAACGTGTGAGGGGTGTGCCGAAATGGAGCGGCGGTGCCATGCAAACTTTCCCACTGGGGCCTTCGGTGAAACTCCCTATGGGGCCACGAAACGTATGAGGAGTGTGCCGACATGGTAGACTGATGCGGCGATCAGAGGCAAAGAGGGGGAGGGGGAGGAGGGGGTGGAGGTAGGAGAGGAGAGGAGATGAAGGAGCGCGGGGCGCTGTCTCTTCAAAACGAGGGCCCAACTCCACGAGATGGTCTCGAATTGTGTGTGTGGGCTGCGTGTGCAAGTTTCAGTGTGCTTTCGACGCTTCAGAACGTCCCCCCGCTGGCACATGGCAGGCCCGACGGCGACTTCGGGCTCGGTCGGGGTGGCTTGGGGCTTGGTGGGCAGTCAGGAGGCGGGGCGCCCTTTTTTCTTATCGTGCGCCTGATGCGAAGGATTGCAAGAAGGATTGCAAAAAAACGAAGGATTGCAAAAAAACGAAGGGTGTTTTTGCAATCCTTCGTGCAATCCTTCGTTTTTTGCAATCCATCGCCAGGCACGCCCCCCCCCCGCAGGGCCAGGGTGCCCCCCCCCCGCAGGGCCTGCGCGGTCGGCGCGCCCCCCTCCCCGCGGGACCGGGGTCCCCCCGCCCAAGCTGAGAGGAGGGAGCGGCAGCAGCAGCACGAGCAGCAGCACGGTGCGCCGAGCATCGGGCGAAGAGAATTATGCACATGCACCGATCCTGGCGAGGCCCATCCTTGACCCAGGATCGGTGCATATGCCTTCCTGGCCAAGGTAGGAGGGCGTATGCACCGATCCTGGGCTCAGGATGGGCTTGGCCAGAATCGGTGTATGTGCATAGTTCTTGTTCCTCTAGAGCAGCAGCAGCAGCTCGACGCCGCCGCCGCCGCTGCACCTCCTTCCCCCTCGCTTCGGGTATCCTTCCCCGCTCGCCTCGCGCGCACGAGGTGCCACCCGCTCGATCTCGGCGCGGTGCTCGGTGGCAGTCCGCCGGGCTCTGTGCGTTCAGCCAAGGCGGTCGCTGGGGTCAGCATTGTTTGACCGATTCCTGCACGTTGTTCATGTTTATGTATTCGAAAGTTCTTTGATTTTTTTGGGGGGGGCAAGATCCTTTCAATTCTGACAGTTCTATCCTGGGCCTCTTCCCGGCCACTAGGGGGCCAGGAACAACTAGAAACGAGCACTGTTAGAAATGAGCACGATTAGAAATGAACGACTTGTATCCCCTATCCCCATCCCGAGCCCCACCATCCCACCACCCCAGTTGGGGATGCGCCCCTCGGGAGCCGAAGGGGACAGCCTATATCCCCATTCCAGGGGGGTAGGCCAGCCAGTGGGGCCCAGGCCACGCCAGAGGTGATAGGAATCGTTCAAACCACTGCACACGGGGGGATAGAGGAGCGGAGAAGATGAGAGGGAGGGGGAGGAGGTTGACGGCCAGCAAGGAGAGCCCTCCTCGCTCCATCACCCCAAGAGCGCTGGCAGGCGGCCGCGAGCTCGCAAGGGGGAGGCCCCGCCTCTACCCCCTGCTCCAGCTGCTGCTGCCTGCCGCCCTCCACCGCGTCACACTGTCGGCAGGGTCCTCCTCCTCCGCCTCCTCCTCCTCCTCCTCCTCCTCCTCCTCCCGCTTGAAGCATGCTATGGATTCAGGTGCCTGGCCCAAGACAATGCCATCCCCCGTCCTAGGAAGAAGGGCGGGCGGCGGGAGCGTGGATGGCCAGCACGGGGTGGGGGGGGTGGGGGTGGGGCAGTATCGCAGGAAGCTTGATACCCACGGCGCGGCCAGCCTGGGCGATAGCTGGATGCGCACGTGAGGCCTTCCAGAAGGGGCCTCGCCCTCGAAGGCAGACGGAGTTGGTGTCTCCTCCCCGGCGGCAGGCGGCGGAAGTGAAACGAGGGCGGCTCCGCCAGCGGATGGCAGGCGAACGCCGGCGGAAGTAACTAGAAGATGCGGCCCCAAGAGATGGCAACGCTCCTGGGTTCCCAGTTTCCGAAGCCGGCCATGTGTGGCCAGGCGTGCTTCTGGCGCTAGGCCCTCCTATGGCCAGGGACGCCAGGTGCACCACGCGTGAAGGCAGCAGGCAGCCACGTGCGCGGAGGGGGAGGGCGGAGAGGAGGACGGAGAAGGAATGGGGAGGGAGGGACGGAGAGATTTGGCCTTTGGCGGAGTGCATGAGAGAGGGAGCGGGGAAGAGGAAGGGAAATTGTTGGACGGAGGTGATGGAGAGGAGGAAGTGGAAACATGAGAGAGAGAGAGAGAGAGCAGTGTGAATGACAGAGGAAGGAAGAGGTCGGGAAACACTACCCGTGCGGCGTGTCGCCGCACAGCCTTTTTCTCGCACGCGGGCGGGTTCGGCACACGAGTCCAGGGCGCTGGTCCCTGCTCATGTCACACGGAAGAAGGACAGGGGGGAGGAGGAGGAGGATAAGGATGACGACACTCCGCTACCCTCTCTCTCCCCCTGTCCTCCCTACATTATCCTTCTCTTTCTTCAGCCTCCTCCCTCCTCCATCCCTCCCTCCTTCCCTCCCTCCCTCCTCCTTCTCCCTCCCCAAAGAGTTGAATCTGTTGGCTGGTCCCAATCGGAAAGTTGAACGGCTGTTCAAGCCTGCTGTGGTGGCAGTAGGCACTTGGTCTTATCAAATTCAAGATTCACCGCCCTCCAGCGTCCAGCAGCGTCCCCGTGCGCACGCGGCCAATGCGACGGGATGCTGGGGTGCTGGAGCTTGCACGACCTCATTACTTGCGCTCGGTAATGTTGATCGTAATCGTCCAGGTTGCAAACTTAGGTACGAACAGTTGCTCGAATGGAGACGGCTATGGATCAAACTTGACCAGGATCAAAATACATGTTCTGAAGGTTTGGGGCCCCAGTAGGCAGAAGCTCCAGGAGACCAGGAACCACATGTGGCGTGCTGTTCGAGCGCCTGTTGGGGCGGTGGCGGCTGCGTTTCTTGGGTTAGCCGGGGGCCCTGTTAGTCGTATTCAATGGGAAATTCATTGATGTCTTTTGTGTGTGAACAAGCGTGATTGTAATTTTCATTTCTGGCATCGTGTGTCTCGCCAGGTAGGTGCGCAGCAGTGGCAGCAAGCGAAGGAGCACTTCTGTGAGAGTGGCTGCAAGGTGGAGTGGATTTCACGTTTCGCAGCTTGGGCAAGCAGTTGCAAAATGAGCATGATAACAAAGGGCGTGGAATGCTCTAACGAACGTGTCACTAGTGTGCAGCGGCTAGAAGCCAGCTTGACAGATGGCTGATATTTTCAGTGCAGACATCTGCGCCAGGACTGATGCTGCGATGGAGGGCCCGCATCATTGATGCTGGAATTGCAGGTGCAATACTGACATGGACGTTTGCCTCTTGGGTGGACAACGGACGGTACCCCTGCTCTCACTGAAGAAGGTTGGGCCTGGGATACCTTCTTGCAAGCTCTGGAGACAGAACGACCGATTCGTTTAGGTTTTTGTCGGAACTGATGGGTCTAGGGTACAGAGCGTGAAATCTTGAAATATCTAAGAGGTCTAGGTGGTATGGTTGCTCTGTTGTGCATCTGAAACGAGGGCCCTCGGAAGTTCCTGGAGTCATTTGAAGTATTCTGCCATGGCCCCACCAGAGCTCACAAAGAGCAGAATGTCAGGCCGCCATTCGGCTTCTGATACACGGTTGGTGGCATACTTTGCTGGTGTGGTTTAAAGCAAGTAGTTGTTGCAGGTCGTTGAGCAGGAGTTGCTGTAGACGAATCATGTGTGTTCGATGTGTTGCAAGAGGCGTGGAATGAGTTTGAACGCAACCCAGATAAATGCATATTCGTTGGATCACATCCCATCGCACTGAAATTTACCTTCGCGAGAAGTGCGACTACGCCAGCTGTTCGGTGGCAAATAAGCTTGCCGACGTTTTTGCTGGGAATGACACAAATTAGTTTAGGGGGGCTGCCTAATTCTGATCTCAATGAAAGAAGCTGGCGATTGTACTTGCACCCAAGTTCTCAAACGGCCATTCGCCCTCAATTGGCATGTTGCGCTAACTTGCTCTCGTAGCCGCGAGGATCGAACTGGCCGAGCATATCACAGGCAGCGTAGCACTTCTTTCAGCTGCAATGTTCGGAAGCAGAGACTTCTGGGCGCTGGGCACACTCAAATCAAGGCTGATACACAACTTAAGTGTCAGATTTAGTTTCTGGATTTCCATGCCTTGAAGGATGAGTTTGCGCGATGTTGTCCCTCGGTGTACCTCGGGCCCGCGGTGTTGGGTTCCGTTGGTGCAGTTGGGTCGTCGGCTGGGACCGCTACCGTGGACCCGGGCTCTGTTGGGGCTACTGTTTCGCAACCGAGCTTGTCTGGGAGCCACGACTCCCATCCCCTTTCTGTGCGCAGGGGAGTCTCTCTCTCTCTCTCTCTCTCTGTGCAGGACCTGCGGCAACTACTGTGTCAGAGCTCCTGTGAAGCTGGGTGAGCCCTGTCCTCCCAGTTCGGCCATTGGGAGGTTTAGGGTGCGATGGCGCAGCAAGGAAGTGCCGCCAACATATGAATTCACATTCCCTTGATAATTGCGCGAGGTGTGGCTGAGCATCATTGGTTCTACACATACCCTTACCCGGGGTCGGCCTGGGTGAAATGGGCCGTCCGCTGGATTGGGCACTTGCCACTGCGCCCGATCAGTCTGCCGCGTGCGCGCTGTTTCAGCATCTGCGCGTCAGGGCGCTACGACACGCTGAACGGCTGGCTGTTCGATTGCAGCGACATGCCCCGATTTGCGTCAGGGATGTCTGGGGGCTTCAGGGGTGTCCGCGGGGTCATCCTGATTGCAGGATGTGATCTGCCCAGCTGCGCCGTCGGTCCTGACCTGGGGACCTGCTGCAATATTCCGCGGGGTTTAGAACAGCATTGGAGTGGTGGTGCCTGTCTCATTCGGGGAGAGGCACCGCCACTCCGTTACGTTGGGGCCTGCCCGCAGGCGCGTCGCTGCAGTCTCGCGCTCCTCTGGGGGCCGCGGCGGCCGCGTTCGGGGGCGCCCTCGGGGGGCCGCGCGCGCCCGAGAGCGATTGATTTCGACCAAACGCCACCTCGACTAGTGTGCGGGTGCGTGTCCGGGGTCACCCATCAACGCGCGTCGGCGACTGTGCCCCCCGACGCGTGCCTGGACCTAGCTGGGGTGACGCCGCGCGGGTTCTCCAGGGAACGGCCCCTGGCGACCGCGCTGGGCGTTCGGGGGCCCCAGGCATTCGGGGCGAGCGCGGGATTGCAGCGGCGCCCGCCGAGGACACCCAGGGCGCATTTGGCGCGTCGAGCCCCAAACGCTTTATTGTGCGCCTCGGTGGAGCACCTCCGAAGGAGCTACTTCAGCCCGAGAGCGACCAATGCGTGGTCGGCCACTCCGCCGATTGGAACACGCGCGCTTTCGGTGCCAGCGGATGCCCGGAGAAGACAGCGTCCTGTAATGTTCCATGGGCCGTCGCATCTGCACTTGTGCAACCGCCGTCGGCTGTGGAGCGTCGCTCCCCCCGCCCCTTCCCACCCCGCCTGGGTAACGGCACTGGTATATTTCGCGCTCGAGAGAGTAGGCATTCCGGGAGCCCAATAGAGGAAAGGTCGAACGGTCTTCCTCCTCCTCCTCCTCCTCCTCCTCTTCCTTCTCCTCCTCCTCCTCCTCCTCCTCCTCCTCCTCCTCCTCCTCCTCCTCCTTATCCTCCCTCCCCCATCTGGACAGGGTTCACGCCCTTTCTCTGGTTGTGCCTCCTCTCTGCTCGTGCGCGACCCCGCGCGCGCGGGATCGCTCGATGGGGGAGAGATGAGAGGCGGGAGTGGGGATGAGGGAGGGGGAGGAGGAGAGAGGAGGGAGGGGGGCGGAGGGAATGAGCAGGCGGAGGAGGGCTTGGGGGAGCGAGGGGGGATGGGAGAGTGGGAGGAGGAGGAGGAGGAGGAGGGAGGAGGAGGAGGAGGAGGAGGAGGAGGAGGCGGAGGAGGAGGAGGAGGAGGAGGAGGAGGAAAAAAGGAGGCAGAGCCCCTCCCCAG